GAACGCTATTCACCGATGCCTGTAGGAGAGCAGCGAGCGCGCCTACGAATGTGTGTTCGTGGTGAGAAGTGTAATTGTTAAGGAATGCAAATGAGCGCGTCAAAGTGAGAAAAAGTATGTTGAACTCCGAGTGCAGGAATGAGCAACAAAGGTGTTGGTAGTTGTGGTGAATGGATGCGTGTTGAATTTTGTAATTCAGCAAGTGAGAGTAAATTCTGGTAAAGGGTGAATAATGGCGCAAAGAGCCATTTTAAGAGTAAGTGAGGTGAAAGCTTTTTTGTTGGTGAAAATTACACGTGATAGTTAGATAGAGGTGAGTTCAATTTAAAAAACATAACGGTTAATTTATGGCATGACGCTTTTCATGGTGGCTCTTGTTTCGATTTACTTTCCAAGCATAAGATTAATGTCGCAAATATTCGAGCTCAGAAACATATAGCGAAAAGTGTTTGGTTAGCAGACGTCTGGAGGTGAACACCTACTTGAAAATACATAGAATCCCAACTCCGTAACCCTAATCTGGAACCAAATTCAGAACAGCTGGTATCAGAACTGAAAATCAAAACTAATAAACAAATAGACGAACATAGCCTTAAACAATACAGCTGTCATTTCGTTTTTTCAACAAAACTACCGACACATATCCTCTTCCTCTGCTACCACCAGTGGGTTCCGAGTTGAATACTTTCAGAACTGGTGCGTCGGTGTCCATTCGAACGACATGACCAAGCCAGCGGAGCCGCTGTATTTTAATTCGCTGCACTATGTCCATGTCGTTGTAAAGCTCATACAGCTCATCGTTCCACGAAATACAGTAACACTAGACTGACTACTGAACCTACTAGACTGATATCAAGATTAACGAAATTGCTGATGAACTGGCGCAAAGGTAAGATCATCGAGCCTCCTCACGGGACCGTCGCTAATTTGTGACCTAAGCGGGCTATCTTTCATACAACGGATTGTTCACAACAAAGTCCTTCAACTGCTCTGTTATAGACTGTTTGCGCGTTGAGCTCTAGCTGGTAGACAGCGTGAAATATTTAAGCAATTGACTTAATTTAAAAATTCTCTAATCTGTCCATATTGCTTCCCCATTGGAGAGGACCGTCAAAATCATGTGGCAGTGCAAGATAATGTTTTGTATGTATTTAGGGCTCCGTTGCCTGGATATATACCTGCGTTGTCAAGCCTTGAGTTCTTTATGGAGCGGTGAAATGGTAACCGAGGGCGGTCATGATTCAAAAGAGACTAAGCGTTACCCCGACAACCGCAATCGAGCTCCTATTCTGCTTTCCCCCGTTCCACCTGGCTGCAAATGTATTGCAAAGGTAAAGAAACTTCCACTAACTATGCAGGTGCCCAGCCTTCGGCAGAATTATACTCATGGCCACCAACTTCGTAGACCTAACGACTTTCATCGTTTGAAGAACGCAACGCTCTTTCGCCTGGTTGAGCTTCAGACTCTGAAAATCTCAGGAGGCCAGCGATAACGAATCAGGAGTTAATTTGTGTTTGCCTTGAGTCTTTAAACTCTCCCTCTCTCTTTTTCGCAGTGTTTATCTTTTGGCTAAAATAAGATTTCGTCTTACAACATTTGGCGTGCAGGGCAATAGACCACAGCCAAAGACGACGACGTTGAGTCATGTCACCCTATGCCTAGGCTTCGCTAACGAATTGGAATTCTACAAAATAAGTTCACAATCTGGCTACGCTGCAATAATACGACGTATGGAACTTAAGGTCTTATTTCCAAAGCTAAAGTGTGGTGTTTCTCGATCATTTCGAAGTTGAGGCCTATTCCTTCCTTAAGGAAGTTAAGAAATTATTGTAGCTAGCTCGCAGCAATGAAAACATCACCATTAGTTGAATACAAAAGTAAGGGCTGCCACGAACACAATGAACGGACCAAATGCTGCAGAACCTAGGACCTATCTGCCCTCGGGATGAAAAACTCGAGCCACTTCTCAAAGGAGGGGCGATTTGCGTAGTGTTTTGGGTCAGCCCAAATCAACAAACGGTTGTTCTCCCAAATAAAATAAATATTTTAAAATGGATCTCACGAGACGTGAATCCAACAGGGTTCTGAATACTTTAACTCCCCTCGATAGAGTCAAGAGCTAGCACTGATATTCGAAATGATGAGGCAACATCTCTGGGGAATAAGAAACTCCTCTGCCTGGAAACAACATTCAAAAACTGCTTGATTTTGTGATCTTTTTACTCCACGGGAACCCTAGGAAGCCCTTCACCCAACATTACCCCTCACCTTAAAACCGTTGGTATTTCCCTTGAAGAAGTCATAACTATTTTCGCATTCCAGTCGGATCTAGAGAGACAAACTTTCGCTGCATACACCCAGTTTGGTTAGGTTAAGTTGAAGCGGGTGCCTTCACCCAACGTGAGAGAAAGGCACACTTAGATCCAGTGGATTAGTTGTGACACCAATTGAGAGCTATAGTGTGAACCCGTCCGTTCACCAGTTGGTTAAGTTCAGAAAGCGCGTGAATTCGTAAATACCTGCTTCACTTAGATCGGCCAGACAGACAAAAAAGTGGCGGTGAAATAAGCATATTTTCGCCCACATACGGGCAGGCCAGTGACAGAGGTAGTGTTCCACACTTCCGACTTCGTCCAGGTCTCACCAACTACGGCAGAAGTATTTGGTCGGCAAACCCATTCTGCTAGCATGTCTTGCCATTTATCATTGGCCCGTAATAATACTGGACACCAGGCTTTAATAGTAGAGGGCATTCTAATCGAACGCGCGCGTCGGATATTTCCTTATCTAGGCTGCGCTGGGATTTGTCGAGTCGTCCCACACTTGAGTTCTTCCGACCATATTTTATTTACCTTCTCGACGAGGTATGTCCCGAGTCATGACTTGCAGGTATATAACGGTATGTCCGCTGCATAAAAGGAGTTGACGTCAGACAGGGTGGTGCACAATTACCTTGAATATCTATTTGGCCTGGCACCCACACAATGTGAGTAGTACACTTTGCAGCTAAATCGTTAAGGACTTTCCTACATTCTATCTAAGCTACGGACGAGTTCTCAGAGACATCCAGTGACTTGATAGCTGTTTGGCTATCCGAGTATATAGTTAATGAAAGCAGGTTAAGAGAAGATGCGATATGCACCAGTGCAGCCTCTTTTATAGCCGTGAGTTATGCTGGGAAGACACTGCAGTGGTGGTCTGGTAGCCTAAAACAGAGGTCTCTTAGATTTAGTTTAGAGCAGATGGTTGTGCAGTTATCTTGGAGGCCCCAGATCGAGTCGTCCTCGCAGTCCTTCCTCGTAGGGATACGAGTGAAGAACTTGTTCTCGAGCTCCATCGCCGGTGTTGTGTAATCTGGAGCCCTAAGAGTGTCGGGGTAGTTGTTTTGATGTTTTTGTGACCGAATCTGGTGTCTTTTCATTTTGACAGTGCATTTATTCTTATTGCATTGCAGCTCGCCTATAGCTTCCCAAGGAGGTCTATGGGCAGAAACTTTAGCTGTATTTCCATAGCTTTGGTGCGTGTGGGCGGCAGGGCAACTGTGATTGGCACGCAGGCCGACCTTTGAACCTTGGTTATCTTAGAAATTGTGAGCGATTTATCCAGTGATGTCCACCAGAGTATGACGCCTTAGAAGAATATAGGACGTACCACTGTTGCATAAATCCAGTGTACCATGTGAGGTTTCAGGTACCCCAGGTACAATTGTCTTTTCGAATGATAAGTCTATTACTATGTCAATTAAAATTCAAAACCTCTCGCAAGCTCCAGCTTGCAGTCATGCGTTTAATCTTAGTACATTAATGACTACATTTCGAAAATAATAACTACATAATTTTTCCTTTATTAATAGCTTATTTCTACTAGCCACGTTTCTAATTTTTTTTTTCAAATTTCCCCTTCCGGCAGTTGTAAATTCCTCAGCCAAAGTGCAATTAAAGCCGCATTTCTAACCTTATCCAACCGCAGGCACTTACAACATGAGGCCCACGCAGGCACACCTACACAACCACTCACAACTCAATCACAACATTTGAGTGTGCTCCAAAGATATTATACGCTTCATTTAAAGCCCTCTGTAAATTCACCACAGTATACGATTACAGTTATTTCCGTTTGAGGCCGAAAGGCATTTGAATTGTTCAACTACAATATGACGACAAATGGAATTTCGCGTAGGAAATTCGAAAGGTAATGGTTAGTTAGTGGAAGATGGGAAGAGAGAGACAGAGAGAAAAAAAAAGAAAAAAGAAAAAACGTTAACAGGTGAGTTTCGCGGCGAGAGGCTGAGCGATAAGGCTGTCCGAGAGAATAAAGATGTGAGAGAGAAGGACTAAAAGAAGTACAGAGAGTCAAGGCGTGGGTGAGAGGAAAAGTAAAAGTAAGTTTTGGAAGTTGAAAAAATAGAAAATATTCAACAATTTTACAGAGCTTGAGGCTATTTTTAAAGAAAATTTTTTGGGAAAAAACAACAACCTAAATTTTGGTAGAAGTTATATCTGCTATGTCAGAGATCACCACAGACTTCTTCAACTGGGATTCGATCCAACGAACCACAGCCGCCCATTCCGCAAAAATTTTCATTAAAAACGACCGCAAGCTCAATAAAATTGTTGAATATAATTGTTTTAAAGTCATAAATAACAAAAAAAAATATGAAAATATTCAACGTAACAAGCAATATGAGAAAATTCGGAAAATTCAACAAATTACTCAGTATTTATTTACCATATTCACCATAACTGTGAATTGAACTAAGATTTCTCAACTTTACAGATTGGAGATGATGACCAGAGAGGAGTAGCTACAGAGCTCAAACTCGTAAAGAAACTCACCACAACATGTTGAAATTAGTTTTACAATCAAAGTTGCCGAGCTAGGTAATAAACTCAACACATGGAATTTTTATTTTGCTCTTCGTTGTAAGTGAACTTCAGTGTATAAAATAGTAGACGCTGAATGTCACTCTCATCATTAATTTCAACTACACCATAGGCAACACACTCACTTGCAGCAGCTTCGTCGTTTGCGAGCACTGCCAGTCAGGCCCTCAAGAACGCTCCAACTACGCCAAGTAGCATTGACTTTGACCGTGCATAGTAAGTCGCCGTCAACAAATCCAAATTTAGTTTCAACTCGTACAGCAACGAGTACGGAACGAAGTGGCCATGGCGGCCGAGTGCGTCACAGCCGAGCGCAAAAACTCGGACGCGACGCTTTTCGTGGGCACACGCAAGTGTACGTGTGTGTGTCCGTGTGTGTGCGGCTGGCAGTTAGCTAAGACAAAGGCGTAATGTAGCATAATTTTTGGCGCGCGCGCTGACAGTGAAAGAACGTGTCACAAACAAAACTGAATGTCCAAACAGTTGAAGGGTACAGTAAACAAACAGCGAGCATACTTTGTGGCGGTCTAGCAAAATTCATTTGCTAGCAGTAACTGATATGTGCTTTTGGACGAGTGCGAGTGTTGTTTATTTTTAGTAGAAATAACTAATTTTTTTCTGTATTTTTTTGTTTGCTTTTTGCTGCCACGTCATGAGCTAAACCTTTGCGTGTAGTGGTGGTGCGTTGACACAATAAAAGGGCGCGCGCGTCGCTTGTTGACACTGATATGTAGTGACAGTTAACATTTGTTTGCAAAGTAGCGGAGTGGGGAAGGCGCAAACAAAAAACGAAGAGTGAGAACACTTGAAACAATGCGAGAAAGAAAACAAACGCTTTCACCAACTTTTTTACACGCACGCGATAGACAGGTGAAACGACAAACGCATGTGTACATAATTTGTTGCGTGTATTTAGGCGCATAGCCCCGTGAGACGTCGAACATACTTAATGTAAACATCATAGCTAGCTAGTCTGCATCGCTTAGAGGGTTACTAGCTCTAACACAGCCAGTGTCTGCTAATCATAAAATGCGTGATGACAATTCAATAAGTCCAAAGGAAATTGGCAAAGCCAGCAGCAGCAGCATGGTCAGCTATTTGTATAACGTCTGTCGCCTGTCAAAACACTTGCCACGGTAAACACGTCTCACACCTTTTTCGCGTTGCCGTGGCATACTTTTCGGCGCTCAGCGGTGTAAAGTGCAAATGCGTACGGCAACACGCCCCCGTATTGCCCCCAACCAACTCAACAGCAGGTGAGTGGCATAATATAAAAATTAAGTAATTATTTTAGCTACACTTAAGCTCCAGTGCGCTATGTACGCTTTGTTGTTTGTGGTTTTACAATGAAATTAGCGTGCACAGCCTAATACTGCTGGTTGTCAAGGTCCCAGTGGCATGCTTTAAATTTGTCCAATTAGTTGAGTATTTTGTTTGATGTGTAATTTGAGTGATCTCCCCGGAACGATGAATGTTTGTTTGTTACGTTGTATGTACGCTCGGTGGTGTAAAATGAGGTAATAAATTTCAGTTTTGAGCTGCTGTGAAAATTAATTGTCTTTTGAGGTTAGCTGTGTAATGCGAGGAATTTTGTGCGTAAGCATTTTAGCAACGATAATTTTTTTTTATCAAAACAGTATTGAATATATTTGGCGTTAAAAAATTTCTTTGTAGAAAAAACTTTGCAACGGTTTTTTTTTTTTGTAAAACAAAAAAATGAGATTATCAAATTAAAGCGCTTTGCCTGTAGATGTGCAAACTGGTTTTAGCTTTTATCGAAAAGAGTTGCCACCTTTTAAAAAATTAAATTCAAATTATTTATTAATCAAGATCATCAAATCCGCACCGTTCGTTCGATTTTTCAAAATGAGGCGTCAAACCAAAATCCTTGGACTGAAGATGAGCATTCAAGTTTTGCTTTTTTGAAAAGAATTGCCACCTTTTAAAAAATTCTATTAAAATTACTTAAAAAAATAAATCAATTATTACAAACTGGGTATCAATCGAAATGGTATTGAGAAGCTTTAATTCTTAGCTGAACTATAGGAGAGTTGCCACCTGTTAAAAAAATCATATTAGGTAAGAGAAATATGTAATACCATATGGATGCCACACGAAAAGGGTTTCAGAAAGTAGTAGTTTGAAAATATTCTGAAGAGGATTGCCACCTGTTTGAAATTTCGAATTTAGTTTACTTGCTCACACGTTATAGGAAATATCAATATGTGGATATCAAACGAAGGAGTCTTAAGAACTCTTTAGTTTGAACGCTAAGAATATTTTTGAGATGTTGGAAGAGGGTTGCCACCTGTTTAAAAAGTTACATTCAAATTATTTTATAAG